CATTGGATTGGTGGACTTGATGCGGACTGGGCTGGGACTTTTTTCAATATTCATTTGCTCTTGTACATAAACCTCTTTCATATACACATGTGAGATTTTATAGATTTGTTTCTCTCGTCCACCCGGCCCCAATCTATAAAGTGGCACTAAGAATGTAGTCAATGGAGAAGTGTCATCAACCAGGCTTTTCCTGAGACAATGCTTCACTACTTGTATTAGTCTAGGTACTTTGGAGAAACAAATCCACAGCAACTCATGTATAAGTGAGAGTTTTATGTAAAGAAAATGTGCATCACGAAAACATCCCAACCCAATGCTGCCCAAGCCCACAAGTCCAACATTAACCCATTAACCCAACACCATCCACAAAAAAGTCCTCCACCTCACAAAACAGAGGCAATGATGCCGACTGCAGGAGGAAAGCTGAGTCAGTGAACATGTAAGCATCTCAGCACTGGCAAGGGTCTCCACACGGCTGCTCCAGCACCCAGGGCTGCATCGGGGTAGATCCATGCGGCTTCTCCTTGGGGATGTCTTGGAGGAAGTCAATCTTGCAAGCTGAAGCAGGGAACTGCTAAGGCAGCTGCACCCGATACAACCATCACAAAACAAGAGACCCGAGAACTAGAAAGGCGAGGCTTCACCACCCATTTATCCCTCCGCCTTTCAACCAGCACCACATGTGATTATCGGCCAGGCTGGCACAATTAACTAACTCACTACTACTTCTACTTTTGCTCACATGTCCCCTGATGCATTTTGATGCCATGTCCCCCACCCCAATTAAGCTGCCATCCAAAAGCTCTTATCATATATCAAGTAGCTGTAAAAGAAAAAAGTGCCCGCTATAAATGCTGGCTGTAAACAGGTACTCTTAAAAGATATCTAAGGAATTCTAAATAGCATGGTGATTGGACATTCACCATCACCCATTTAAAAAATAGATGAATCTGCTCTTGATCAACAGTAAATACTTTAGTTATACTGTTCCTTTTTTTCTCTTTCTAGTCATGCTTTCTTTCTATGTCTCCCCAATAATTTCATCCTAATGAAACACATTATTTTGCCTGAGAGTCTACCATTCTCCCATTTTGTGTTAGAATAAATTCAGTCTTGAGGCTTTTTCAATGTCCTGTACCTAGAAAACTAAGTGTTCACATTTTTCCTGGCCTGACAGCATCACAACCATTGTTGGTGCATCAATTATATATTATGGCACATACATTACATATGATATAATGAACATTGTTGGGCATAATGGTTGGACACACTTTGGAAATCACTTGTCTTAATCGGTGGGGCAGGGTGTGGCCTTGTTGCCTGCAGCTCAACCCTGGACAGCTCCGTTCAGAGGTTCTCTGTCATCCTGGTGCGTCCGTCCCCAGAAGGCAAGCCAAATGACGAGGTCCTAGTTAGGGCCAGGTCCAGGCACGCCTTTCTCTTACAAAGTGGAAGAAGGGCAATTGTGAAAAGACAGGTGGTCACAGGCAGCCAGGAAGAGCTAGCATGATTCGATTATATGCTAGGTAAGTTATATGCCAATAAAACGACTTAAAAATGAAAAAAATGTTCATCAAAGGACTTTTACAAACAGTAAATGGGCAATTCACCCAACTGGGGAAAAAATGTTTGGGAATTATTTAATGGGTGACAATCTGACCTCTAAAAGCTCTAAAATAGCAACTCAACAACACAAAGACAAACCCCTCAACCATGAAATGGGAAAAGGGCACTACAGAATGTTCACCAAAGAGGGCACCTGCAGCAGTTACATCAGGCCCTGTCCACTTGTGAAGGGGTGGAGTCTAGCCTGTCAATCAGTCACAGCTTGATGACCTCAGTTGGAGGCACGAAGGAAATAAATAGCTCCCTGGAGACCAGACACACCCTCTGCTTCACCTTCCTGCTGACAAGCCACATGGGGCTACACTGATGGAGCCAGAGCCCTGGAGCTGGAGGAGTCACATAAAGACCCACGCCAGGGCTGAGATGCTTCTACCACCATTGGATCCATAAGACTTCCTACCCACTGGCCTGTGATCTTCCTGCATTCAGCATTACTGCATGGATGAGTGAATCTAAAGTGGATTTTATGGACTAGTATCGACATATGGGGTAATATTGGACTTATGGACTTGGCTGGGATTTTTTTTAATGTACTCTTTGATATAAAGCTCTTTCTTATATACATATAAATGTCCATGAACTTGTTTCTCTCGTCAAACCAGACTCACACATTGGCGCCCAAACAGTTAATGAACTGATGAGAAGATGTTCATGATCTTTAGCCATTAGAAAGAGGTAAACCCGAACCCCCATGATATTCCATCTACTCTGACTGAAATGGCACTGATTGGAAAAAGACAGATAACAATAAATGGTGAGGAAGTGGGAATTAGGAATCCTTAGCCATGGCTGGTGGGACTGTAAAATACATGATCGAATCGCACTGGAAACCCATACTGTTGTCTCCAAACACTAGAAATGCAACTACCATATGACCCAACAATCCACTCCTAGGTATATATTTAGAGACCTAAGGATTCAAGAATCCATTTCTAGGTATATGTCCTAGAGTCAATAAAGGCATAAATGATGTACGCACACTCAGGCTCATCACTGCTTTAGTCACAATAGCAAATAAATGGAAACAAACAAACAACAGTGTGTCTGTCAACAGATGAATGGACAAGTAAAGTATAGTGCATATGAAGAGGCTTCAAAATGCTTGTGGAAAAATTGGGTGTTCTTTTCATTCTATCTTCCCATCAACTTTTGAAGCCCCCTCATATAGACACTAAAATGCTAAGCTACCATAAAGAACAATGATGAGCTGCAAGATATAATGGGGTGGGGGGGGGGAGGCTGGAGGGCATAGTGCTAAGTCCACCACCTAAAGACTAATAGTGTATGAAATCAGTCAAGCACATAAGAACAAATATTATATGATCACTCTTCTATAAGCAGGCGGGACTAGATAAATATGAAGACCAGTGTTCATGGATACTTACCAGGAGAAGAAGTCGGGGTACACAGTAGAAACTAGCTCCTTTTCGGTGCCAGAAAAAGTGGCAATGATGGTGGATATAGTGAGCATCGCACAACCCAAGGAACAAGCATTTGGACACATAGTTGTGGGTCTAGGTAAAATGGTCTATAGGTAAGCACAGATGTATATATAGGTGAGGAAAAAAATAGAAGTACCTATTCCAAAAAACCAAACCAAACACTGCCATTCAGTCAGTGCAGACTCAAAGCAACCCAACCTTGGGTTACCCAGCCGGAAATCTTGATAGGAGCCAAAGGCTCATCTCTCTCCCATGTAGAGACTGGTAGGTTTGAACTGCTGACCTTTCAGTTAGCAGTCAAATGCTTATCTGACAATACCACCAGGCTCCTTTGAAGTATCTACATGTTTAGGTAAATACAAAGATGTGGGTCTATTCATTGAGAATACAGATATAGATACACCTCAGATATAATCGAGTACATTCTAACTAGTTTGGGGGGCTTGAAGGCTTAGGGCCAGAGTCTCATGGAACAACTCAATGAGTGCAACATAGTTCACAAAAATGATCATCTGCCTCCAAGAGCAGTGAGTTAGACCTGCAGTTTAAAAGTCCTTGAATAACCAGAAGCAAAACAGTTGGTAAACAAAAGCACGGAGGGAGAACAATCAAGTCTAGAAGAAGCAGAAACTCACCTGCTCTGCGAGCAGCAGAACTGGCTGAGCAGGTGAAGCTCAGCCACCATCACTGTCCATTCTGATGGGAGGCAGTGGATAGAATGGGAGAGAAATATGAGGCAGAATTGAAATTCTTATGTTAAAACAGGCCAACCAGGAACAGGACAGAACCAAGGACCTCCTGAGGCCACCACCCGAGACAGTCTTGAAACCTCACCCTCCGTCTGTCAATGAAGGGGCAGTGGCACGTAGGCCAGTGTCCTGCTTAAAAACCATCAGTCTGAGGCTACAGGTCACCATTTCTCCAAAGCAAAGAGGAGAAGATCAGGGAGCAAGGACACCAGAGCTTGGGAAAGGGAGCGACCTGACACAAGGAAAGCGAATGCCGACGTTGTGAATGACATAACTCATGTCACCAGTTTGTGCAGAAACACACATGGGAACCTAACTTCATGTGTAAACTGTAAAAAACCAAAAACGGAACGACCACCAAAACCCCACTGAGAAATGAGAGAAAAAAAAAGAAAGAAAAACTGTCAAACTGGTGAAATCAAAACAAACAAACAATCAAAACCAATCGTTGAGTGCATTCTCCCTCGTGATGGCCCGTGTTTACCGAGCAGGACTACTGCCGGGGTTTGCCCGCGCCTGATGTTTCAGGAGCAGGGCGAGGCCTGTCTTCAAAGCGCCTCTGCTGGGCTGACCACCAACATTCCAGGGAGTGGCCACGTGTTTCACCGTCTGCAGCACCGAGTCCTGGGACATGCAGCGCGCAGCTGCACAAAAGGTCCCCTCACTCTTTTGGTCTCCGGGAGAATGTGGACGTCACTGGGTAAGGAGTTTCTGCTTGACATTAGAGGCCATGCCCACCACTCCTGCTTGCTTCAAGAAGTTCATGGGGAAAAATCCATTATCTTTTCATTCCAATTTTCCATGAACTTTCTGAAGCCCCTCCAATGTATTCACTCCCCCATCCCATAATGATTCTGCAGAGGGCGGAATTCATCCGGACCTGGCGAGAGTTGCCCCAGGATGAACCCAGGGGATGGAGGGAGCTCTGTCTCGTTCTTCTGCAGGAAGCTAGCTAGCTGGGTTCTTTTTTCCCATTTGCTTGACTATTTGTGTGTGGTGACGCTTAGTGCTTCAGCCCTACCCATTGGTCCTATTGGCGGGAGTTGAGTTTGCAGAGGTTCTCTGCACTTCTTTAAACTGGCAACCTCATGGCTGAAGGAAATGCTCATCTGGATTCCTTTGAATTGGGGGTCTTCTCCTTGGCGAAGGAGACACGTGCATTATTCAGGGCACTTTCTCTTACCTGCTGCTTGAGGGCTTCCAAGGACTCAAATTCCAATCTGGCTAGTTTCATCTGGATGTGGCGCGGCTTATCCGGTATGGCAAAAGCAAGTACGAACTTCAGAGCCAGGAGCGCATGCTGAAAACAAGAGAGAGTGCGTGTTGGCGTGAGACGTTCCACTATACGTGCAGGAAGCACACCCCCAAGAGCCCTGAGAAGGACCGAGGACTGCTCAGGTGCTCCTTGCCCTGGGAGACCAAACAGGTCTCGTGGTGATATTTAACCCACCCAACCCATTTAGTGACTATTTACTTTGCTTTTCTTCTTTCCGAATAAATGATTGACATTCATGGATAGCATACACTACTCTTCATGTTTTATAGGAAAATCAAATGTATGGCAAAGAGCCCACCATAATTTGTTCTTTTAAAATTAACCTAGATCTTAATTTCTACTGTATCTTAGTACATACTAGAGTGGCTCCCGTCTCCCATGCCCAGTACTCTCCTCTCCGGACTCAGCTCTTATCAAATGTACATGCGCCTTCACCCTCAAGAGCATTTCCAGTCTTCTGTATTCCTGACAGTGGCCGGTACTGGTTCATTTTTTTGTTTGTTTGTTTTTGTTTTATTCTCCTTCCTGAAATGATCATCATTGAATTGGGCATGACTGACCGGGGTGGACTGTCTTAGGTTGCTGACCCCATACACTGAAGGGCAGGTACACAGACCTTCATAGTGCATCCTTTGCCTCATAGCATGGGACACAGAAAACCTAGCTGTTACATTTCCCTTCCACACCAGGATCACAAAGGGGATGTGTATGTACCGCATCCTGAGGTTGACCAGGACGCGCTTTCTCTTCTGACCTGAACTAGGGCTGGGTGTTGTTTCCTTTGGTCACTCTGCTCTTGGACTTCACAGCCTCAACCTATTTATGCTTCTCCAACCAAGCACCATCTCGTCAACACACGCTGGTGTCCTTCGGGTTCAAAGTTGCCTCTTCAGTGGTAGCCTGATTTACAGAATGTTAAGAGTGGTGGCATAATTTCTAACAGGAAGGAGCAATTAAAAGGCGCGAAGAAAGTCAATGGAGAAGTTGGACCAGCCTCCAAACCCTGGCCTTGGGTTGGTGGCCAAGCACGTAAATGGAACCCTGATTGCGGCTGGTTTCAAGAGGAGGGCAAATTCTAAAGAATGAACTTCTCCAGGGAGGAGCATGAACGAGTGAAGGATGTCAGCATCATGCCAGGACAAGCCATAATTGAATCAGGACCCTTCAACACTGGCCCGACTCCAGGGCAAGATAGGCCAGATCGGGAGTGGACCAAAGACGACCTCGGAAGACACTAATTAGTGCAGCAAATGTATGGACAATACAGCCTGCATTAGAGGATGTCATGGTAGCAATTCTGACCTGAGTTGAATTAACAAGGAAAGTAGGGGCAGAGAACAAGGTCAGAAAGTTGGCTGGTGGGAAAGGAAGGAGTGGTGTTGTTATTTTAAAAAGATGTTAAAGTGTGGGCTGGCGGGTAACTAGTGGCGGTGGCGGCTGTGGGGCTGGGCATGGGGCTGGCAGGGCTGCTGTCTAGTGAAACGACTACCTTCCCTTCGAGCATGCAAGCAGGACGGCGACCAGGACGGCGACCGGAAGGAAGAGGAAAAAGGTGTGACAGCGCCCGGCAATTCCAGAGCTGCAGCAGCCATGGCCCCAATCAAGGTGGGGGATGCCCTTGCTGCGGTGGTGGCGTTTGAAGGGGAGCCTGGGAACAAGGTGAGCCTGGCCGAGCTGAACCAGGGCAAGAAGGGTGTCCTCTTCGGAGTTCCTGGAGTCTTCTTCACCCCAGGCTGTTCCAAGACTCACTTTCCGGGGTTTGTGGAGCAGGCTGGTGCTCTGAAGGCAAGGGAGCCCAGGTGGTGGCTTGTCTGAGTGTCAACCATGTCTGTGTGACCAGCGAATGGGGGAAAGCCCACCAGGCAGAAGGCAAGGTCCGGCTCCTAGTGGACCCCACTGGGGCCTTTGGGAAGGAAAACAGATGTGTTCTTAGATGACTCCTGGGTGCCGCTCCTTGGGAGCGAAGGCTCAAAAGGTTCTCCATGGTGATTGAAGACAGCGTAGTGAAGGCCCTGAATGTGGAGCCAGATGGCACAGGCCTCACCTGTAGTCTGGCTGGCCCCCAGTATCCTCTCACAGCTCTGAGGCCCTGGGTCCAGATGCACTCCGCACTCCCACTACCCTCTCCTTGTCTCACCTGCCCAGCCCTGGGCAGCAGGCCTGGCTGCCCCTGAGCCGGGCCACCCAATTGGAACCTTGGCCAAATTTCTGCAATAAAACACACCTGGTTCAAAAAAAAAGATGTTAAGACTTGGATATTTTGGGGAAGGGTCCAGGAAAATGGGGGCAAGTGGAGCTCTTGGAAGGAGAAGGTCTGAGGCCCAGAGCCAGGCCTCTATGCAAGGCAGGTGCTTGGTCATCAGCCAGTGGCACTCTCCCTGTTGGAAGTAGGAGGTGGGGACTGACGGTAGGCGAGTAGGGCTCCCTAAGCGGCTATGGGTTGCACTGCTAGCCCCCCAAGGTCATCAGTTAAAATCCACCAGCTGGGCCAGAGCAGAAGGATGAGGCTTTCTGCTCCTTGGTCTGGAAAACCTCGAGGGGGCAGTCCTTACGCTGTCTGCCACCTTCAGGGTGTGGGCTGGCTGGAGATGAGTTTTCTGTGTGAGTGAGCCCAGTTCTTCCCCTGACTCACTTGAGAATGGGGAGTGGGGTGGGAAGACACCTCGGGGTGCAATGTGAGGAAGGCGCTTCAGCAGTAGGCTATCAGGCTTGGAGAGAGATCATGCAAGAGAGGCAGATAGGAACTGGCACTGTATAACCAACCGGGCAAGGATAACTTGGACTCACCCCCAGCCCAACTTCCTGCTTCTTTAACGCAAGATCCAGCTGAGCGTCCGCATGGCTCGAGTCAATATTTGGGGTCTAGCCTGGAAATCTAAGGAGGATTGAGAGCACTGTGTTTCTAAAGATCCCTTGGGGGCTCTTATTTATATTTTCAATCTATCACACGGCTGAGGATGGTTTTTCTGCCAAGTGATCTGAAGAAAAACGAGGCGGAGGAAATAAACCACCGTGGCAACACAGTGTGAGAAGCATTTTAAGGATTGTGATTTTTAAAAATCATTTTATTAGGGGCTCATACAATTCTTATCACAATCCATACACACATCAATTGTGTAACGCGCATTTGTACATTCATTGCCCTCATCATTCTCAAAACATTTCCTCTTCACTTAAACCCCCGCATTAGGTCCTCATTTTTCCCCTCCCTCCCCGTTCCCCCCTCCAGTCTGGCTAGACCGGAGGAGGTACACTGGTACAGCTAGGAACTGAAAACACAGGGAATCCAGGGCGGATGAGCCCTACAGGACCAGTGGTGTGAGTGGCGAAACAAGGAGGGTAGAGGGAGAGTGGGTAGGAAAGAGGGAACCGATTACAAGGAACTATATGTGACCTCCTCCCAGGGGGACGGACAACCGAAAAGTGGGTGAAGGGAGATGTCGGACAGGGCAAGATGTGACAAAAAAAAAAAGGATTGTGATTTTTTTAACACCAATCAAGAACGCCTAGGACGAGAGGGGGATCTGCGCAGATTTGAAGAGAAGTGCCCTCAATACAAAGGGCATGGTGACAGTCGCGCGCGTGGTTATTAAAACAAGAGGTGCTTCAAGGGCGGAGACTAGGATGCTTCCCGAAAGTGAAACACACGGGGGTGGGGGGGTGGGGGGTGCAGTGAGTGCGGCAATGGGGAGAATTTTAAGACTGAAGAACACAAAGAATCAGCTCCCCAGTGCAATGCGCTTCAAGTAATGATTCCAGGGTGTCTTGGGCACAAAGGGAAAACAAAGGGACAGAGACCCGAGGAAAATCGAGCCCATGGAAGCCAACGCTTTCCGGAGGCAGAGGTGCAGTTGGGGTCGCCTCTGGTCACTCCGCAGGGGGGAGGGGTGTCTCGCGCCAGGTGCACAGAGAGAATAGAACCATTTTATTTTGCCCAAACCAGAAAACGTGTGCTATGATCAGCCGTGGCAGCTGTGTTTTGTAGCAGCGAGTCCACAACCCTGTCGTTTCTGAAATAGAATATGCAAATGAGAGTGGAGTTCGTGGAATTCTGAAAAGCTCATTTGATTCCTACCATGGTATGTCTGCTGCGGTCCCTCTCTCCATACAGAGCACAGCCACTGGGGAACAAAGGGGGGCTCCTTCAATAAAGCAGCCTCTGATGACTACCAGACAAATTACATGCCAAATACCAATTAATAAGAGGTGATTAATGGAGCTGAGATTTTACAAGAATACGCTATAGAATCGGGCTCTTATGGGGAAACTGCAGGAGGTTTCTTTTTAATCTTACAGATCAAGCATGTATGTCCACTTCTTCCACCACCACTCCAACCCCCAAGGGCTCCCCGAAATGAAGGAAATACATATTCTGTATGGAATGGGGCTAGAAAACAAGAGAAGCTGCCAGGCGGAAGGCAGAACGGGCAGTTCAAGTACTTGGAGTTGAAACAAGGCCTCTCAGAGAGGTACCCCAAAGATATACCAGTTCCACAAAGGGGTCACAGAATTGGGCCAGAGTCATCAACAGAGTGAATGTGTTGAAAGAAAGAAAGAAGCATCGGTTCTCACGAAAGCTAGAGCCAGCGTTTGATACCATTCTGCACCACAGTGGCTGCAGGCTCTGTTCTTGATGAGAGACAGAGACCCACCCTTTACAGGCAGTGTGTGATCTGCTGGGGGAGCTCCCCATGTGGGGCTGTGGGCCCTGGAGAGATGCCCAGAGGAGCCCAAGGGCATGTCAGACTCTCACGAAAGACTTGGAGGCCAACCCAACAAACCGCTCATGAAGAGCCAAACCAGGAAGCACATGGCTGCCTGTGGTGGTCTGCACTCAAGTTCTTCCGACTCAGGGGTAGGCCAGTCAAGTCTTCAGGTGGCAAGGCTGTTCTCCAGTCCTGAACCTTCCAGGAGTCCCCTCATGTAGCACTCCCATCCCAGGGGAGAGGTCTTCTGGGGAGCCAACGTGAACCCTGGGAAAGCCAAGCCCAGCAACTCGTGTGCTCAACAGCCTTTCATCCACA